GATATTGACACAGACCAATTAATAAAGATCTTGGGCTACTCCTCTTAATAAGGTTGACCTTTTAAGATGGACCCTCAATTCTTTGACAAAGGAGAAGTTAACAAATACAAGGCTAGACTTGTGGCAAAGGGATATGCACAGCAACATGGGATTGATTACACTGAGATGTTCGCACCAGTGGCAAGATGGGACATGATCCGGATGGTTCTAGCTATGGCAGCACAGAAAAAATGAAAAGTGTATCAACTAGATGTAAAAAGCGCATTCCTCCATGGAGAATTAGATGAAGATATGTACGTAGAGTAGCCCCTTGGTTACGAGAAGAAGGGAGATGAGTACAAAGTTTTCAAGTTAAAGAAAGCTTTATACGGATTGAAGCAAGCACCAAGATCCTGGTTTAGTAGGATTGAATCATATTTTTTAAGGGAAAGGTTTGTTCGATGTCTAAGTGAGCATACTTTATTTGTCAAAACTCAAGAAGAAAGAAAGATTCTAGTGGTGAGCTTGTACATGGATGACTTGGTGTTCACTGGGAGTGATGGGGAGATGTTTGTAGAGTTTAAAGCTTCGATGAAACGAGAGTTTGATATGACTGATTTAGGTAAGATGAAGTTATTTCTCGGAGTAGAGATTGTGCAAAATGATGAAGGAATTTACTTAAGTCAAAAGAAATAAGCTCTGGAGATTTTAGAGAGGTTCGGCTTGGAGGATGCAAATTCAGTTCGTAATCCAATGGTACCGGGTACTAAACTGATGAAGAATGAAGATGGAAAGCAAGTGGATATGACTTAATACAAGCAGATGGTAGGTAGTCTTATGTATCTATCAGTGACTAGGCCGGACCTTATGTTTGTGGTTAGTTTGGTCATTAGGTATATGGAGAGACCTACAAGTCTACATATGCAGGCTATTAAGAGAGTTTTGAGTTATGTGAAGGGAACAGTGGACTTGGGGATTTACCACAAAAGGGGAGCTGTAAGTGATGAAATGTTAATGGCCTTCTCTGATAGTGACTATGCCGGTGATCAAGATGATCGTATGAGCACTTCTGGATATTTTTTATGCTTAGTGGGGGAGCAGTTGCTTGGAATTCGAAGAAACAACTAGTGGTCTCCCTTTCAACAGTCGAGGCAGAGTTTATATTTGCTGCTCATTATGCTTGCCCAGCTGTGTGGATGAGAAGAATGCTCGAAAGTTAGATTGCAAGCAAGGTACACCTACTGTCATACACTGTGATAACATTTCTACAATTAAATTAGCAAAGAATCCAGTTATGCATGGTAAAAGTAAGCATATAGACATTAGGTTTCACTTCTTGCGTGAGCTTTGCAACGAAGGTGTAATTAAGTTGAAGCACTGCAATTCATGAGACCAAGTTGCTGACATTATGACAAAAGCATTGAAGATGGATGCATATGAGAAGCTGAGAAATTTGTTGGGCGTATGTGTGGTACCAAGTTGGTAAACTGCTTGCTGGAAGCAATGCAGTTTAAAAGAGGAATTGTTGGAACTAAGTTAGTGTCCTAAAAATTTGTTAGGATTTGGTGCATTATCTACACACCCTTTTACTGCTTTCTGTTAATAATGTTTTAGTCTTTAGGATTAAGAGATTAGGTTTGATTTATTCTTTGTTCACTAAATCACGTTTGTAGGAACGTGGGTTGCATATTTTTCGAGTTAATACCCTAAATAGTCACCGAACTTTTCAAAAGTTCCCAAGAGGTCACCGAATTTCAAAACTTCCCTAATTAGTCACTGAAATTTGCAAAAAGTTCCTAAGAGGTCATTGAACTTCAAAACTATCCTAAATAGTCACTGAACTTTGCTAAAATTTCCTAGGAGGTCACCGAACTTTGCAAACTGTGACCCATACATCAATTATTTAGTGACCCCCTAAGAATTTTTTGCATAGTTGAGTGACTAATTAGGGTAGTTTTGGATAAGTTCAGTGACTATTTAGAGTAGTTTCGAAGTTCAGTGATCTTCTAGGAACTTTTGCGAAGTTCGGTAACTAATTAGGGAAGTTTTGAAATTCAGTGACCTTTCGGAAACTTTTAGCAAAGTTTAGTGACTATTTAGGGTATTAACACCATATTTTTCTGATTTTCTGTTGTAAAGGCTTGATATATAAGCCAGCTTTATCATTTAAAAAAGAAGCACTTCCATTCTCCCCATTCTGAGAGTTTCTTTAGTGCATAAAGTTTTCTGGCTCTAACAATAATACTTTGATTAATTTGTACAGAAAGGCTGGTCATTTGAAGGATACTTTGGATGTCTTTGCGGATGGTGTTGAAAGTTTGGGGTGACCCCGGACACATTTACTTTCAACACCATGATCTTCATCTGTGGTAGTCACGGTTATTTGTCCAAGGCTGAAGCTTTGCTCAGCGAAATGGAGGAAAGGGGAATTAATCCTGATACAAAGACTTACAACATTTTTCTATCCCTCTCTGCTGATGTGGGGAACATAGATGCAGTTCTTCTACTCTGTAGAAAGATTAGGGAGGATGGTCTTTTTCCTGATGAGATAACTCACAGGGCTATTCTCCAGATATTATGCAATAGAAACATGGTTCAGGAGGTGGAAGCTGTGATTGAAGAAATGGAGACATCGAAGATGCATATCGATACGATAAAAATTCTCTCCCTGTACTTGTCAGTATGTATATAAATGAAGCATTGATTGATCGGGTTAAGTTCCTATTTGAGAAGTGTCAATCAATTGGTCAGCTGTCGTCAAGGACGTATGCTGCTATAGTAGATGTATATGCAAAGAAAGGACTTTGGCCTGAAGCAGAGATCGTGTTTTACTCCAAGAGAGGTAGTTTTGGACAGAAAAGGGAAGTCCTTGAGTATAATGTCATGATCAAAACTTATGGTAAGGCAAAGCTCTATGACAAATCTTTCTTACTCTTCAAGAGCATGAAGACTCATGGGACATGGCCAGATGAGTGCACGTAAAATTTCCTTATCCAAATGTTTGATGGAGGTGATTTAGTGGACAAAGCAAGAGACCTCTTGGTTGAAATACAGAACCTTTTCGGCTATTGCTCGTGTTTGCATGGAAAGGCTCAGTCTATATGCAGACTTAGGAATGGTGTCAGAAGCAAAAATGATATATGATCATTTGCAGGAGAAAAATTGGGCCAATGGAGTTACATTTGCAACCATGATTTATGTATATAAAAACATGGGTATGCTTGACGAAGCTATTGAAGTTGCTAAGGAGATGTAACAATCACATTTAGTGAGGGGTTGTGTTACAATTAAATAAAGTGATGGCATGCCATACCACAAATGGCCAACTAGTTGAGTGTGGTGAGTTGCTACATGAAATGATAGCGAAACGGAAGCTTTTGCCTGAAAGGGGAACATTCAAAATAATATTTACCATATTAAAGAAAGGAGGTGCTCCTGCTGAAGCAGTAATGCAGCATTGCAGCTTGAGTCGTCTTAACAGGAAGGAAGATGATAAATGTAGTTTTCATACTTATTTGCGGCGCTGAATCATGTTATTTTATTTGTCTTTTGAATTAAATTTTACTGAATTCATGTTAAATTGTATTGTGTACCTAAAACTTCATGTTTAATGAAGAATTAAAGACATGAATGTAAAATATGCGGAAAAAGGAAAAATTCAAAGTGTAGGGACTAAATTGACATTGGTTGCAAAATAAATTGGACCACAAATTGGGATTTTAAAACTGGACTATATATATATATATATAGACGGAG